CCGCCTCGGCAGCCACCGCCGCGAGCTCGGCCGCTAGTGGGTCTCGGACTTTGGGTGTCCGGGTTGAAGGTCGGTCCGGACGTCGGACCCAGCTCGGTTCCCGGACTGTCCGGGGCCGCCGCTGCCTCCGCGTCGCCTCAGCCTGGCGTTTTGTTTCGAGAGAACGGAGAGGCGAGCGGAGCTGACAGTGATTTTGACAGTGATTTAAACCCGCTTTTGTTGTTGGCTTCTCGTTGTTTGGTTTTGTGTGTTGTGCGTGTGTGTGGAGATTTTTCCCCCTTGGTGCCTTTTTTTTTTATTGTTGTGAATTTTTCTTTTTCCTTTTTTTTTCAAACTCCGTGAACGTTTTTTTGTTTTTGTTTTTGTTTTTTGTTTTTTGTTTTTTCTTGCTCGGGGCTTCCGAATATGTTTTATGACGGTTGATTTTACACCAGGAGGTTTGTCTCCGAGGAAGACCCAGGGAACTGGATATCTAGCAAGAACTTCCTACGGCTTCCCCGGCGCCTCGGGAAAATGGGAGCTGCTGCAAAGTTGGCGTTTGCTGTCTTTCTTATCTCTTGTTCTTCAGGTAGGTGCAGGGAGCGCGGCGCGGCGGGGCTGCTGCTGGTAGCCACGGCTGTCGCCACTGGCGGCCGCGGTTGTTGTTGGGTCTCAGTGAGCTCCAGTGCAGCCTGGGGAGGCTTCCCACACCCTGAGCCCCTCTGCTGCTACCCCCAGGTCTGATTGTGATCTGGAAACCTCCATGAATTTTTCTTGTTTTGAGTTGGGCTGGCGAACTGATAAGAGTGCTGTGTTGTTGTGGAAGTGAGAAAGTCATGGTCTGTGGCCGTAACACTGGATGACAGCGCTGGTTGGGTTGCAGTTAAGCCACAAATACCACAAGTGACAATTTATGCAAAGGTTGAGACCCAAAAGGAGTATTCTGAAATGTCATCTAGCGTAAGCTTATCCAAAATAAGGGTGGCTTTTGTCGTCTTCTAGTTTTCTGTGTAGACCTTCACCAGTGACTATCACGACGTGGATCAAGTCGGTGGCTACTTAATTTTGACCGTGAGAAACAATGCATCCTGTTAGCAATTTAATCTAACTCTCCTCTCACGTTTTCTTCAACTTCTTTGTCCAGCAGTGTTAAAAATAGTTGTTGTTGTTGGAGTATTAAGTATAACCCAGTGCAGAAGAGGTATGCCGCTGTGTGTTGTTAATTTGCTGGCTTCCAACCACCATTTGTGTGCTCTTTTCAGGCAAAGATTTTGCTTACCTACGGAATACTTATTTTAAACGCTTTGTATTGAAGCATTGTTTTCGGTTTAGTAAGCCTATGAGAAATTGGTCTTATTGTTAAATATGCGTTACCTATGGAAATAGTAGCCCAAGATTGTAAGAATAACCTGGCCATTTTATATTTAAATTTTTATTTTGTGAGGACATTCTGTGGTTGCAACCAGTGGTTGGAAAAACTGTCTAGTCTTTTGTATTTGAAATTCTGTAAATGAATACAATATCTAGGTGAAAGGTGTGCAAATGCGTCTTAACAGGAGTTAGTTCCATAGATGAAAGAGTTTCAAAGTCACGATGAATCTATGTATCATAAATATTCAATATTCTGTTACTAGGTTGTGAAATAGAATTATGGGGGGAGCGACTTGACAGGTTTCATGGCCATGTCTTTATCTCATTTGCCAGGGAGAAATTAGAGGGTGGTAGTCTTTTCTTTGTGTACCTTTGTGTGTGAGTGTGTGTGTTTGTTTGTGTCCACCCCCCCCATCTTTTGTAATGTATAGAATTTTGCTGAATGGTACATTTCCTTGTGGTTAATAAATGGATAAAGTCTAGTCTTATGTCTGTAGTGGTATTGATCAGTTCCGGGTGGGCTCAATGTGTTGTGAAATGGCGATCATTGCCAGAGCTTAACCAAAAGAATCATGTCTGTTCAAATGGAAGAAGGAACATGCTTAAGGCAGGCTGACAGTTCTTTTTGTGCATGGTTTGGGGAGGAAGCTAAACAATGGTGTATCTGAAATGAATGAAGGCCTTGATAACATTAAACATCTTGCTTTTGTGAAATGACTTAACCATCTAGTTTTACTCGTTCCTTTAGTACTCTTTCTCTTCTGTCCCTATATGTTCTAGCTAGTGAACTCCTTTGGTTCAAATCCCTTTTTTTGATCTCTTGCCCTTGAGGAGGAGGAGCAGCATGGCCACTGACCAAGGGCTTGTGGACATTATTCACTTCCAAACCCACCTGAGTCACATTAATTGGTGAAGGAGGTTATTCTTGAACAATCTTAAGGTATTACTTCTGGAAAAGCAGACTGTCGCTACAGATCTTTACAGCTTTTTCTGTTTGGTTTGGAAGTAAAAAGAATTGAGCATTAGTTTCTTGTAGGATTATTTTCACTGGGCCAGGAGGTTAACAGTGAAAATTTTGAAATAAAGCAATGTTCTTGCTATAATAGATATTCCATTTACATTGAACCAATATTAAGTATTGTTGCATAGATTTTTAAAAATAAAATTCCTTATTGAACTAAAATATATGATTGTATTAAAGATAACTGAAATAATCTTAAAAGCCTTAATCTTTATTTATACATGAAGGTTTTTAGTACTTAAAATGTCTGATTTTTTGAAAAAGGTTGTTATGAGTAAAATGCTCTCTAAAAAAGGATTATTGTGTTTCTCCTAATTGATTTTTCTATGTAATGTGTAATCTGGCATGCTGGAACCATGAGGTTGGCTATTTTTGTGAGAATTAAGAAATTTATCAGGTCAGTTTTGTTTCTGGATGTATATTTATCTCAAATGGGAAACAGTAGTAAAATATTTATTTTAGGTATTAAGGATGGATATTTACTGTGTTCTTTAGCATTTTGTGGACTTTGATTTTTTTGTCTCCATCCTATGGTATGTATTCTAGAAACAAGCAGACCATTCTTGTAAGATATGGCCAACTATAATTTTCCCCTCTCTCATTCTAGAGGAAACATTTTGAGTTTTGCCCTTATCCTGGAATGTCTTTAGATTCCCTTTGATTTTGAATTTTTATTCCTTTTATCCTTCCTCAGATTCTGTTTCAAAACAAATCTGCTTCTCAGTTTTTTTTTAAGAATCATGGTTATTTTGTTTTTCATAGTTTGTTAAAATGTGAGATGAATTTGATACTTACCCTAGTAGTACTTAGGTTTACCTAGAATGATGCAGCTATTATGGCATTTGAGTTGCATTGAAGTAAGTTGAGAATTCATTTGGATTCTGTGGTAGCTAAAGCAATGTGGTTAATATATTTGATGAAATAAGAAATGGAGATGTAGTAATTATGTTACATTTTCTTCGCAGTACTATGTTTGATGCACATGTGGGTGCGAGTTTGTGTATGGTTGGAGGGAGAGTTGGCATTACAGAGAATCTTCTGGGACTCGTCTGAAGTTTGGCTAACAAGCATAGATATTAAGTGCTTTGTTTTCTAAAAGGCATCATCTCTTAAGTGTTGCCTGTGATCAAGTCCAAATACAGTATAATATGTTGAAACTTGCAGACCAGAAAAACAAAAACATGCCCTGATTTTATTTTAAAATTTATTGTATTTATGCTCTAAGTCAGTAGCTCTCAAGTTGAGGTGGTTTGCCCCTCACCCTTGGCAACACTTGGAGACATTTTTGGTGGTCGCAGTGGGGGGTGGGTGGGAGGGGTTTGTGTGCTGCTGACACCTAGTGGGTAGAGGGCAGGTAGGAACTTGATTGTCCCACAATGTACAGGACAACAAAGAATTATCTGGCTCAAAATGTCAGTAGTGTTGAGATTGAGGAATCATGTTTTACATGCTTCTATTTTTTCTTTTTTTGTTGTTCAATTTTTATTTTTATTTATACTTGTTTGTAGTACATAATGGTTACATTCGTTGTGGGGAGTTAGTGGTATATGTACACAACACATCTCAGTTCTTTTTTCTTTCCCCCACCTTCACCTAAACTTTTTTTAAAGCACTAGTGACTGTGCTTTCTCATCCCCTAAAGTTAATATCTGAATTTTCTCAACACATAGCATTGATCTTCAGGTGACTTTGTATTGAAAGGTTTTATATTTTCTTTGTCTTTTAAAATTAAAATATGATTAAATTAGGGAAATAGATTATAATCACATATTATTTCATCCTATCCTTTAATGAGTGTATTTTGCTGACTATTAGGCCTAAACACTCCAATTACCTCTTTTGGTTGCATGTTCATGAAGACTATATGTTCATAGATATGATGAATGATAAGTTAATGTATCATTTAATTATATTTGCATTTGATCTAGTATTTTCTGTGCTACAGGTATTTTTATTTTCTTTAAGGATCTTTCCTTTTATCCCTATTGAAATCACTGGGCTGAATGGCTGTGAGAATGTGTATATGTGTGTGTGTGTGTGTGTGTGTGTGGTTGTGTGTGTTTACTTGGTGCCTAAAAGTTTTGTATCATAGAAAAAAATGTGTTCACTATTATGTATTTGCTAAATGGTTTCAAGGTATGACTTAATTAAAAATTTTATTTCTTGCTGGACGTGGTGGCACACCCCTGTAATCCCAGCACTCAGAAGGCTGAGGCAGGAGGATCCCTGTGAGTTCCAGACCAGCCTGGGCTACATAGTGAGTTCCAGGTCAGTCTCAAATACATAGGGACACCCTGTCTCAAAGTAAACAAACAAACAAAATTTTTTTTATTTCTTTTGTCTAGTTAACTTTACTCTCAGGAAACTTTTAAAGTAGTTTAATTGTTGAGAAACATTAGTTGGGTTTTGATTACCATTAGATTTATTTAGGATGCCTGAAGTAGTAGTCTGTGACCAAGGGAATTTTATGAACACTCATGCCCCTAAAGGTTACATATCAATTATAATAGATACCTTATTTTTAACTCTGGATTTAAGAAAGTTAATTCAGCCAGCCAGTATGAGAATTACATTAAAACTATTACAATAAGTAGCACTATACCACAGAGGAAAATTCTGAAGTCACTCCCACCAAAATATTCACATCAGCCTCATACTGTTTTTGTAACATACCCCCTCATAACCTCCTCTGGTATTACTGACATTTTTACCTTTTGGGTCCATCAGACCCACTGTTTATAAGAAGTGATGCATAATTAAACTGAATGAGATTTTAATAATCTCTAAATTGTTTCTTCAGATTTGAAGACTTAATTTTGTTGCATTTTTACTTCAATAAGTACTCCTGTAAATCAGTGGTTTAATTTTGTCTTTTCATGCTGTCTTGTTTCCACTTGCATAGTGTCCATGAGATCCTGGTTAGGTAGATGGTGACACTTGGTGCTAGAGTCCGTGGTACTAAACTACTGTTTATGTTGTAAACCTCATCATTTCTTTCATTTCCTTTCATTAGAGTTCTCATTTAACTTTTCTCCCTTTGTCTTCTGCTGTCTCCCCTCACTCCCTTCTGTATGTAACTTTAAGTATAGGCTGGTTCCTTGTGGAACCTAGTTATTGCTATCATTGTGGGTACCATGGTTTGATGAAAAGGATTGAATTTGGAATGCTTGAGCATTGACCAGTCTTTTCCATTTTTC